CGTATGTGGCTGCCACAGCATATGGGACATTGCAACGTTCAATATAATTTACCTATACAACACTCTATTAGGAAATGTTTATAAGGTTCCAGCTCAGTCCATGATACTAGTAGTGATAGTGACATTTATGGAATGTTTCTCATGTGCTATGTGTCATTCTAAGCTCTTAATGTATATCAGTTCCTTTAATTCCCCTAACCACCCTATGAAGTAGATACCATAATTATCTCTGCTTTATGGATGAGGAGCCTGAGGGCTAGTGTTTGGTGATCGCGTGAAGCAGAACTTGAAGAAATTATCTGGAAAAACTAACCAAAGCAGGTAGCTTTTCTGGGGAGGCCTGGCCACCCAGAACTGTTTTGTTCCTCAGCACATTGTTCCCTGGATGGAGGCCGCTGTGGCGTCCTGTCCTGTCTGGGCACATAAAGACTCAGCATCCCCCTTGGCACTCCTGGAGGACTCAGTCCTGTCCTGCACAGGAGTGCTCCCCATCCAAACCTCATCCCATATTTGGGTGCCAATCTAAACAGGGTATATGAGAGCATTCTGGGCAGAGGGAGCAGAATGTGGATAAGGACATGAAGGCATAAAATGGCATTAAATTCTTAGGAAAATGCAAATGACTGCACAGCTGGAGTTGGGCAGGAGGTGTGTGTTGGGGAACCCTGGAGGTGTGTGACTGGGAGGTAGGCAGGGTCTAGAGCAATGGTTCCCAACCTTACATGCACCAAAGAATCACCTGTGGAGCTTTAAAAATGCCACTGCCTGTGTCCCACGCCCAGAGGTGACTGAGTATTGGGATTTTTAAAACCTTCCTAGTTGATTCAAATCCCAGCTGAGACCCAATGTCCTAGAAGATCATTTAAGGATATGTAGATTATATTAAGCAAGTAGACCTGTACTGTACAGTAAATTAATATACTTGAGGTAAACTAAAAAAAATTCAGGTCTTCAGTCACACAAGCCACATGTCAAATGTTCAGTAACCACGAGTGGCTGCCATATGGGACAGCATAGATAGAAAGCATTTCTATTCACCTCAGAAAGTTCTCTTGGGCCAGATTGATGTAGACTTTATCTGGTAGGCAGTGAGATGCCACTTAAGGGTTTTAAGAAGGGGAGTGATGTGGCCAAGGGTTTGCTTTAGAAAGAGGATTCAGAGGCTGTACAGAAATGGATCCAACAGATCTAATGCTAGCAAGACTAACAGCAGAGGGAGTTATTAGGGAACTGTTCTGATAGTCCAGCTGGACAGCGAAGCCCTGAACTAGTGCCTCAACACTGGAGCTGGAGAGGTTGGGATAGATTTGAGAAGGGTGAGAAGAAGAGGCACTGCAGGATAAACAGGCCCAATTGGATGGGGGTTGAAGAAGGAGGGTGAGTTTAGATTGCCGCTCATATTTTGGATCAGTTACTGGGAGGTTCCTCTGTGGCAATGGCTCCCAACCCAGGAGATTTCCCTCCCGGGGCACATTTGACTACACCTGGAAATATTTTTGATAATTGCAACTCAGGGGGTTGAGGGTTTACTGGCGTCTCATGGGTAGAGACCGGGGATGAAGTAGAGGCTGGTAAATACCCCATAAATCACAGGACAGCCCCCTAGAATGAAGAGTTATCAAGCCCGCAATGTCAATAGTGCAGAGGTTGAGAAACCCTATTCTGTGGGATAAAGGCAGGAGATCAGTCTGGGCGCAGTGGTAAAGATAATGAATAAAAGTGGAATGAATTGTGCTTTTAGTTCTTCTGAGAGTGGTTGGTGGAGATCCCCAGTAGACAGCAAATGTCTACTGGAGCTCAGGAAAGAGGAGTGGGGCAGTGATAAGCAACGGGGCATCCCCCCATCTCTGTATCCAGACCACCCAGTGGCTGCCCTGGACTCCTGTGGAGGGTGCTGAGTGAGAATGGGCTGAGAGTGGAGCTTCAGGGAGCAGCCACACTCCAGGGGCAGGTGGAAAGGGAGGAAGCCACATCTTTGGAAAGGTCTTTGTATGAAGCCAAGTGCTGTCTTCCTTCAGCCCCTGCTTTTATAGCATCTATAACGTCCCAACCATCCTGCATCTCCAGGCACTGCAGGCAGTAATGACTCATTCTTGCTGTCCAGCACCCAGACATTACCGTCAAGGCTGAATATCTCCCAAGCCTTGAGTTGTTTGTGAGTGATGTCTTCCAGACTCCTCATACTCCAAGCTCTGCTCCTGCAGGTGTGGTCCTTTGGCATTGGAGGGAAGGATGGGAAGAAAGGCATGCTTCTCGCTCCCAAGTGCGCTTCTGTCCCGCACAGTCCACATGTGTACATAAAGGGTGCCTACTGCAAGGTAGCTGAGAACGGGGCTTGGGCCATTTTCTGGTGATTGTCCCTGTAGTGGGTTGAATACTGTTCTTTCAAAATTCATGTCCACCCAGAACCTCAGAATGTGACCTGATTTGGAAATAGGGCTTTTGCAAATGTAGTTAGCGATCTTGAGATGAGATCATCCTAAGTTTAGGGTAGACTCTAAATCCAATGACTGGTATTCTTATAAGGAGAGAAGGCAGAGAGACACATAGAACTAAGTTCATGTGAAGACTGAGTCTGGAGTTGTGCTGCCACAAGCCAAGGAATGCTCACAGCCAGCAGAACCTGGAAGGGGGAAATAAGGATCCTCTCCTAGAGCCTTCAGAGGAAGCGTGGCCCTGCTGACAATTGATATGAGACTTCTAGCTTCCAGCACTGAGAGAGTAAGTTTCTATTGTTTAAGCCACCTGGCTTTTAGTAATTTGTTATGGCAGCCCTAGGATCTAATACAGCCCCCTGTGTTTAAAGCAGACATACCTTGACACAAATATCTAACCCTAGACTTGCTTGTCAAGCTTCCTGAGGTTTATCATTTGGGTGACAAAGGTTGGAAATGGGAGACCTCCGGTGTCTCTCTCAAAGGACTGTCTTCCATCATTTATCAATGGGTAAGCAATCTTAGAGGAGACGGAGATTTGGGGGATGCAATAAACCCTGGGCTCCAAGGCAGCTTCTGGTAGCTAGCTAATCAGTTTCACGGCAGATTGAGCTTTTAATTCTGAATAGCTTCTAATTCTGAATAATAATAGATTATAATGCTGTTTATGGTAACTAATGTTTATTGGGTACTTATTATGCACTAGCACTTTATAGATAGTGCAATGAGATATCTGTACTCTTTACTTCAACCCTATTATTACCCCCATTTTAGTGATGAAGAAACTGAAGTTCTGAGAAGCTCTCTAAGGCCTTACAGCTTATAAGAGGCAAAATCCAGATACACCCCAAGGAGCCTGGCACGAATGCTGGTTTTTAGCCATTGTATGTGCTAGCCTGCAAAGTGATGAAGTTGTTGGGTGAGCAGCTCCTGTCCGATGATCGTGGCCATCTTCAGGAGCTCTCGAGTTACCTGGTTCTAACAGTGTGGGCACTAGGTGAGCAGAGGAAGGAAGACAGTAACTGCTGATTAAATGCCTTAAAAAAGATCAAACTATTTTGGGGACACCATGGGCCATCTTTGAATACTGGGATGGGAGGCTCTCTAAAGAGAAGGAGCCCCACTCACTGCTGTCACTGATGCTGTGGCTGCACACGATACCTGTCTGTCCTGACCTCTGAACATCTCCCCTGCCTACTTGGCCTTGGGTGGAAACTAAATGAGGGCCTCGAGACCCAGAGTGTGGTCTGTGGACCAGAACAGCATCAGCGTCACCTGGGAGCTTGTTAGAAATGCAGACTCTCGGGCTGCCCCCGATGTACTGAGAATCTGTTTTAAGAAGATCCCTAGGGGGATTTGTATGCACATTACAATGTGAGAAGCAGGGGGAAAAAATGACCCAAAGAAGTCCATAACTTGCAGTGAATTCTGTGCTCTCTTGGTGCAAATGGGCAGAGATCAGGGCAATGGGAACTTCACACAGGGACCTCGACTTCAAGGATTTTGGGCCCTGGATCAGACGGCCTCATTCAAGACTATCTTTGGCCCCATCTGCCCTGTGATCTGACACTCTCAGTTCTCTACTCCAGACCCCCAAGCTGGAGATGCCCTTCTTGGCTGAGCATCAAAGAGTGACCCTCCAGTGGTTACCAGGAAATTAATTGGCGTTACTTCTCTTTCTGTATCTTCTCAGGGGGGAGGGATGGAAGCTTCTGGGATGAGGTCCCTGGCAGCTGAGCTCATGTGAGGCAGAGCACATCAGATTTCATGGATGATAGAGCTTTTGATGTGTACTTTCACAAGGAAATGCTAGACCATCCCCTGCTCTTTTTCCAGCCCTGCACTCTGAGAGGCAGTTGCTCTCAAGCTCAGAGATGTCAAAGGGGATGGCCACTAGAGATGAATTATGCTGCTCTGTTCTCGCTAGAGATAAATGATGTTGCTCTGTTCCCGCTAGAGATGAATTATGCTGCTCTGTTCACAGCCCTCAGATGACTGTGAATGCATGGGCTGAAAGGGCTCAATGTAAATGATTTGAAGTGTCTTATCACTTTGCATTTTCTTTAACACTGAATCCTTACTCGTTGCGCGACGACAGTAGTTTCTAGAAGGTGAGGTCTGCTTGGGTTTAGCAGAGAATTAGAGGTCAGGATATTTTTTGATCAGTCTCTCACAATGTTCAGCCCTGCAGCCTGAAGGTCTGAGAACACCAGCGGCGAGTGGGTGGTGGGTGCGTGGGAAGGATGGTGGCTCCGCAGTCCTGCCGTCAACGGTGGGTCCCAGAGACAGCGTGGATCACCTCCGAGATGACTCTGAAGGCAGGTTGTCCTATGACAGCTGATAGTACGATCTAGACAGTGCTGGGGCCCAGCTGGCCTTGGCCTGGGAGGATGACTCATAGCAGCGGGACCTTGTTAACCTGTTTACAGTGAGTCATCGGAGCCCCTCCGGGCCTTGGTTCCCTCAGCTGTAAAATAGGAATAATAGTAACTGCCCTAGCTGCCTCACAGGGATGTGAAATCTACAGCAAAATGAGCTGAAAGTGGCCACCTGTAAAGCACCTACCCCGGGTTACGAGGCGTCGCTTCGTGCAGCCAACGCATTCTCTGCTTCCCGTTCTTGGAGCCATCGCGGTTGAGAACAAAACTGTCCAAGTAGGGGGATGTGCACTGTGGTTAAAGACAGGGAGAGGTGAAGTCTCTTGAGATGACATTGGACTCTGCACATTTCTAAAATTCTGCTATCAAATAGTAGCTACCTCAAGTCCTCCTCGACCTCTTTCCTTGGACGTTTGATTAGAACATAAAAATAAAAAAAAGATTTAAAAACCTGTTACAAAGGAAAGAAAAAGTGTGTGTGTGTTGGGGGGAACCTCAGCAAGTGAAGAGGAAGGGAAGCAATGTCTGTAATCTGGGAATACTGTACAGGCCTCTTGATCCAGCTATGGTCTCACCTCCTTGCCTGGGAACATGGGCCTTTTGTCATCTGGCCCGACTCTATCTCACCAGCCTCATGTCCCCCTAGTTGCTCGGGGCTTATTACTGGTTATATATTTTTGAATGAGTGGCCACTATGTTTTTGCTCGTGCTCATTGCCTTTGCTTGGAATTCCCTTTTCTCTCTGGGACATACCCTTCTTACCCTCACAGGTAAGCATACAGGAAGCTAAGGAAATGTCAGTGCATAGCCCAAGGCCCAGGAGGGGCTCTAACAATGTGTTCATTTGACATTAATTTTTTTTTTTTTAAGATGTAGGTTCACTCTGTCACCCAGGCTGGAGTGCAATGGACGGGATCTTGGTTCACTGCAACCTCACATGCTTCTGGGTCAAGCGATTCTCCTGCCTCAGTCTCCCAAGTAGCTGGGATTATAGGCATGTGCCACCACTTCCGGCTAATTTTTGTATTTTTAATAGAGACAAGGTTGTGCCATGTTGGTCAGGCTGGTGTTGAACTCCTGACCTCAGGTGATCCTTCCACCTCAGCCTCCCTAAGACATTAATTTTTAAAATTTAAAAAAAGTGCAAAAGTAAGATACCGCATTTTGATTACAGTTGGCTATGCCCATTGGCTCTTTCTACTCCATCATCCCCTTCGCCACACCTGCTGTCATGTCGGTGACACTGGAGGAGTCAGTAACATTCATACTGTGATACGATGGCTGGCCTAGCACTTCAGGGCCCTGACATCAGCAGTCTGGCATGGAGGAGGGTGTGGAGAGAGTGTTCCTGAAAGCCCCTCCTACACTCAAAAAGGCTCACAATACTTAACTCTAAATCGAATTGATGGTGACCTCACTAACACAAGCTAAATGTTCCCCCAAGTCAAGTTCTCCTTGGCTAGAACCCAAAATGCACAGGTCAAGCCTTGCCACGTGGGCTCATGGTATTTTAAGGAGTCGAAACACATTTTCTTGTTTTTAAATATTTAGAAGAGAAATTCAAGTACAAGATACAAAAACTTTATTTTAAAAAGTGAATAAGCTCAAACATGTCATGATAACTACAGTTCGGGAAGACATGTTGGAAGCTTTTTTCTGCAAAACAAGTGAGAAGTCTCAGACTCCTGGTTTGGACATACTTGATGGAAACCTTTTTTTGGATATCTTTAATTTATTTATTAAAGAACTGAGAGAATATTCAAATACAAATTGATGAAATTTGAAACAAAAGCTATAAAGATAAGCAACAAAATTATTCTGTCATCAAGGAGTGAATTATACATATACTGTATATAATTTATTAAGAGGAGATGAACTTTAAATATAAATAATGGGTTGGTTCTTGGATGGTTTGCTTATCCAATTAATGAAGAGGAAAAAATCATATGAATATATTTATAAAAGATTTATATTTCTTGCTGATTTGGAATGAATCAACATTGGCAAAGATAACATGAAACCTACAATACGCTGCTACCACAAGTATATTGGTAACGAGGTGTTTAGTGAGTGCCATCAATTTAAAGAGAAATTAAGAGAAGTTATTGCAAAAGAAAACCTGAAATGCCTTGAAATCTTGCAGTTTTTATATAAAAGATCCTTGACCCTTGATTTGAGGTTTTCCCAAATGGATAACAATCCTAAAAATTGTTTCTACAAATAATAAATTGTGAAATTATCAACAAGTATTTTTTACTGCTCTGCCTGTGAAAGGAAAGACTTATTTTAATATTCTACCTACAAGAAAAGATGACATTACAAATTGTTATCATATCAGAGGCTATCCAACATTAAATAAACAAAAATACATACGGTAGAAAAGCATTTTAGAGGCAATTCAGGAATATTAATAAAAACATTATTTTTCTGACTTTCTTGAACTTGGTAATATTTTCAGTTTTAAAAATTGTAATTTGGGCTGGGTGTGGTGGCTCATGCCTGTAATCCCAGCACTTTGGGAGGACGAGGCAGGCGGATCACTTGAGGTCAGGAATTTGAAACCAGCTTGGCCAACATGGTGAAACCATGTCTCTACTAAAAATACAGAAAAAGTAGCCAGGCTTGGTGGTGAGCACCTGTAATCCCAGTTACTCAGGAGCCTGGGGCAGGAGAATTGCTTGAACCTGGGAGGCAGATGCTGCAGTGAGCCAAGATGGCACCATTGCACTCTAGCCTCGGCGACAGAGCGAGACTCTGTCGCAAAAAAAAAAAAAAAAAAGGAATTTGTTGTGATTTCTTTTCTCATTCTAAATTAAGATTAGATTTTGTATTCAATTTTGGTTTTGTATCCTTTTGCTTAGAGAGGCTTCTACCTCCTCTTGTCAGTGCACATGCATGCACACACACATGCACACCACTGTGTAAGCTTCAGCTTCCACAGACACTGGAACTGCCTGAGCTCACCCTTTCTGATTCTAGGCCACTGTCACTTCCTTGGGTCTTCCCTGACTCCCTGGTAGAGGACAGTGTCCTCAGCTCTGGGATCCCACATGACAACAAGGTAACTCTCGTTCCTCGCTCACATGGCATTGTGTGTATTCATTTCTGCCTTCCTCCAGGGCAAGAACTTTACCTGGTGAATCTCTTTAGCTGCACGCAACCTGGGGACTGGCCCTGAACACACACATTTCAGAATGTGAGAGTCTTGGGGGAGAGACCCCCATGGGTAAGTGATGACAGTCCTTGGTGCCCATGGCATCTACACTGTGCACATTGCCTCCCTTCAGCCTCCACCCCTCTGTCTTTCCAGGAATCTTCATGTAATTTTTTTTGCTTTTTTTTCCTTCCTTCTTTTCTTCCTTCCTTCCTTCCTTCCTTCCTTCCTTCCTCTTTCTTTTCTTTTCCTCTCTCTCTCCCTCCCTCTCTTTTTCTTTCTTTCTCTCTCTCTCTTTCTTTCTGTCGTTCTTTCCTTTCTTTTCTTTTCCTTCTTCCCTCTTTCCCTTCCTTCCTTCCTCTCTCCCCCTCTTCTTTCTTTCTCTTCTTTCCTCGCCCCTCCTCCCCTCCCTCCTCTCCTCCCCTCCACCCCTCCCTCCCCCTCCCCCCCCTCCCCTCTCACCTCCCCTTCCCTCCCCTCCCCCTCACCCCTCCACCCCCCCCCCCTTCCCCTCCTCACTTCCTTCCTTTCCCAAGAGACAAGGTTTTGCTTCTGTTGGCCCAGGCTTGGAGTGCGGAGTAGGCACGGATTATAAGCTTCACTTGCTATCTAAATTCCTGGGCTCAGGTGATCAACCCACCTCAGCTTCCCGAGTACCTCAGACTATAGTTGTAGGCCACCATGCCAGGCTATTTTTCAAGAATTTTTTTATAAAGATGGGCTTCACTATGTTGCCCAGGCTGGTCTCAAACTCCTGGGCTCAAGCAATCCTCCCACCTCACCTCCCAAAGTACTGAGATTGCAGGTGTGAGCCACCATTCCTGGACTTCGTGTAATTTTTTTCTTCTCTCCTTGCTCTCTGGAAAAGATCAGATACTCATTCAATCCGGGATTCAAATATCTGATTTTAGATTAAAATATGTGGCTTCCCAGAGGTTTTAGTTTTACCATGGGAATAGTCTTCAGCCCCAAATATTGACACTCTTAGCGGTGGGCTTGCAGTCATGGTGAATGGGGGAGGGGTTTGGAGCCCAGGCAGCCTCCTGCCTAATCCAGGCATCAGGCTTCCTGGGGTCTGGAAGGTTGACTGGTGTGAAGGAGAACAGGCTGGGAATGGCCAGGGAGTCCATAGTGGGAAGGAGGGAGGGAGGAGCTGAGCATGAATGAAGGGATGGAGAAATGTACCCAAGAGACAGAGGCAGTGAGTGGACCACAAGGAGAGGTCTGGGTCGGGGGTGCTCTGGGGGTACCCACAGTTTTCCTGCTTTTTATCTCTAGATTCCTCTGGAGAGACTGGAAGACCAAGATAATCTTATCTCTGAGAAAATCTGGTTCATTTTTCTCTCTTACAAAGATCATTTGAGCCTCAGTTTTCTCATCTGTAAAATGGGAAGATAATCCTTACACACAGTGACAAAGTTGGGAGAGGCAGATTAAATAACAGATGTGACTGCACTGAACACAGACAGGGCTAATGCCTGGTGCAAAGTAGGTGCTTGATTAGTGTGCATGGCTGACGCTGTGAAGGGGCCCGCATCTGAACTCAGATGTGCTTGAATTCCCGCTAGGTTTGAATCTCAGCCTCTCTCCAGGTTATCAGGACCATGTGCCTTTGACAGTTTGGAAACACCTCAGTGTTTGAAGCCACAAAGATTCCTAGAGTAGGGTTGTGTGGAATTCCTGGTCAGGGATTTTCAAAGTATTTTAACCACATAATCCTTTGTTTGAATGAAATTGTACATTGAAGCCTTGTGTGTCAAACAGGTAAAATGGGGCTGGGCTCGTGGCAGCACAGAGTGAGGGGTTCGGAGGTCTGAAGACAGCCTCTGCATCTTCCCCAAGACACTTGCCCAAGAAACTTCCACTACACCCAAAGTTCCATTGTTGGAAACTGATTCCAGTCTAAATGTCTTACTTGTGGTTGGACGAGGGAAACTGAGGATCATGGAGAAGGAAGATAATTGTCCAGGATAACTCAAGAGGTCATTTGCTTTCTCTTGGACTCAGTTTCCCCATCTGTAATCAGGAGAGGAACTCAGATCTCCCCTATTTTCAAGTGCTTTCTGGCTATAACGCCAGTCTAAGGCATGATGCAAGCGCCACCTGGTGGTGAGAAAGGGCTCTGGAAACTGGAGAG